TAGTTCTAGTACTAGTACTACTAGTAGTAGTAGTAGTAGTAGTAGTAGTAGTAGTAGTAGTAGTACTAGTAGTAGTAATACTAATAATATCAGCAGTAGTAGTAGTAGTAGTAGTAGTAGTAGTAGTAGTAGTACTACTACTTCTACCACCACCACTACCATCACCACTACCGCTACCACTACCTTTACTTCGACGAAGGTCGTACTTGATCAGCTGAGGAGTCTCGCCGCCTTTTCTGTCTTGCTCTCGCCTGGCCTTGCAGTGCGCGAGGCGGGAATTTCTGCCAACAACGTCCCCCCCAGCGTGGAGGTAACTTTCCAGAAGGGAATCGAGGCTTTGCAGTAGTGCCCTTTTGCCCTTTTTCTTGTTGGCTTTCCTTGTTGAAGCCAAATCGCAGGAAAAGGGTACCCTTGTTTTTTGTTGGTAGGCTACTCAAACACCTAGGAATGGAGCTGCAGGAACTTCAACAAGTGGCGTCTTTCATCGGTTACAGGTGTGCTTCTAAAGATCTCTACAAGACCCATGGCAGAGTGGCGCAGTGCCTCAGAAGATGGATCGACGACGCTCTTCAGGGGAAGTACTTCGTCTTCGTTGGTGAGGATAGCATGGGGGCGAGCTTCGACTCCGAACATGCAGCAGTGTTCAAGTATGGAGGTGTAAAGATTCTCATCTTCCGCCCGTGGTGAGGAGAGCTGCCAGAGGAAAAACTGCTGAGGACAAGTGACCAGGGCGCTAGAATCCTCGTGCATGAGCTTCAGTGACGAGACGGGGTCTTCAAGATAAAAAGGAAGCGCAGATGTGTGTGTGTGTGTACATAGCTCTATAAATATACACCATAGGTTCATGCAAACATACATACACATGCAATAGGTGTGCAAGTATGTATGCAAGCAGGCATGTATGCATGTACGATTGTGTACGGATGTTTGTCGATTGGTTTGTTTCCTTGTTTACCACTGCCCATGTATTTTAATTTAGTTCTTTAATTAGTTGTGATTTGTATTTCGCTGAATCATCTTCATTGAGTTTCATTCAACGTATTGCTTTTATCTCTTATCCAGCACCGGGCACCTGTTCTTCGTGCATTTGTTGTTTGTTCGTCTCTTCGTGTTGTAGTTAATGCTGAGATACTTTTCTCGGGGCTGTGGCCGAAAGCTATTATTTATCCTTTCGCTCTTCTGGGCTGGATTTGAACAGATTGTCAGTATGTAAGGTTTGTGTGGAGTTTAGGTTTATGGTCTATGCCACACCTGGGCTCTGCAACCTTGAGAATGCGAGCCCTTTCTTTTGGGCCAGCAGTCTCAGCAGCTAGGTGTTGGATGGCGACACCTAGGAGCTGTTATGACAGGCCTCCCTGAACCCGAAAAGCACTAAGTCACTCATAGCCTCAAGTACCAGAGCCTTGGTTTCCATGCCAGAGATCTTGAACCACCCTAGACGGTGAACCCTCTGTCCTGAAAAAGAGCGTACCGGCCGCAAGCTTGGAATGCCCAAACATATCGTGTGGCAGCCTCACTGGCTCTTGGTTTAAGGTGGCTCTTTCGTAGCCGTAGCCGCTATGGGTCCGAACGTGACTCAAGTGTTTCGGTTGAGGCTTCTATAGGGTTCAGTAAGAGATAAAGCTTCTGCTGCCGTACTGAAACGCCTATTTCGGGTCTTAGGATTTCAGGCTTATGGTCAGGCATGCGATTCGGTATTTACGGTTCAGGGCTTTGGGTAATACGCACACTTTCAAACACACACAAACACACACCAGTTGCCCTCTACATTTCGATGCAGTCAGCCATCTACTCCCGTAAGTACATTGGAAAGTCTTGCGGTTTAGGATCCAGGATTTAAGGTGTAGGTTGTAGGGGTATGACCCTATAGCGCCGTATGACAACGTGCCCACCGAAAACGTCTCTCTCTCTCTCTCTCTGCATGTATATATATATATATATATACACACACGTATTTTTACTATAAGGCTACATATCTGTATAAATTTCAACGTGTATGTACATCTATATCTGACTATAACTATATATATATACATATACATATATATATATATATATATGTATGTTTACAGCTTATCAGCCACTTCGGGAAGGTTTATCAGTGAGCCCCTATGGACGTGGCAGGTGGCGTCGGAAGAGCTCCCGCAACGAGCTTCGGTGAGTTCCCTGGGGCTTTAGAAGGGTTGTAGACGGGATTTAGAGGAGTTTTCGATGGGTCCTATAGAAGGGTTTGTCCTAGGGTTTCATGGGGCTTTGGAAGCTCTACGGTTCTTGTTGAATATGGTTAGGAGAGTATACGGGCTTAAGTTGGGCTTCTTAGAATTTGGTGGGTGCTTGCAGGACAGCAGTGTTATTGCCACCCTCTTCCATATAACGCTACTATAGCACCTCTGACACTCTCATGAGCCTTAAACCACGGACCCTATCAGGGCATCTTACAACACCCGAAACCCCGAAACCCGAATCCCCTCAACCCTGGGCCCCAGACCCTAAACCCAAAGCCCTCACCTATAAAGCTCTTTAAGGTGCCAAAACACCCCAGAAGTCAGAAGGTCGTCTGCCGCGATGAGCAATACCACAGACACACCGCAGGCACCGGGCATGTTTGGTTCGAGGTTTCGGGGCTCCTCGGAGGGAGTACATATGATTTTTAGGATTTTGGAGTTTGGGGATTCCTGCGTGCCCACGGATTTAGGGGTTTGGGGTCAAGGGCTTAGGGTTTCAGGTACTGTGGGATCCAGGTTGCAGGGTTGATCTTGGGTCCAGGTTTCAGGGTCTGCGGGTTAGAGGGTTCAGGCTTACCCGAAGACTCTCCCAGCCTCAGACCGTGAAAAGTCTGAAGCCCAACGTAGCGGCCGCAGTCGGGGAACATTAGCTTCATTAGCTATATGGGAGTTTCCGAAAACAAGGAGTACCCTGTTTTGGGGTCCTTATAGTAAGGATCCTACTATTCAGGGTACTATATTAGGGTCCCCTATTTTCTGAAACCCCCATATTTTGTTATTACTACTTATCCAGTCAGAGCCCTGTAGCCCAAGCAACTCAACTCTGGATGGGCCTTGCTGAGTGCTTGCACCGAGTCATAAGGGTTCGCAAATGCAGAGCTCAGAGCAAGTGTTGCCCTGCTGGTGTGCTGTGCATGCATGCATGGATGCCGGTCACTTACGGGCGCATACATGTTGCTTTTACGAACTGGTGGCATGACGCTACCTACGCAGTTAGCCCGAGAACTGGAAAGCCCCGTTACAAACTCTCATCCCGCAACCCCAAACTGTTTGGATGATCCAACAACAAAAACCACAGCCGTAAGCCCTGAAACCTCAACAGCCCTAAGCCGTGAGCGAGGATGACACCGATTCAAGCGACTTGTGGACACTCCGTTGCATTGGACTCTTGCTCCTTCAGGGGTCTTACAGGGTTGCTTAGGTTTCTGCAGGATCTTATTAGAGCTCTGAAGGTGCTGTAGGTTTACTTGGGTTTTGCCGGGCCTCATGGGGCTAGGAGGTTTAGGGGCTTAGCAATTAGAACAGGGTCTGGGGGACATTTTTGTCGTAGAGTGCCAGTATGCAGGGGCTCTAAGGCAACAGTGCGAATTACCAGTCGTTCAGACCTTTAACTATGTTGTTTGTCGCCCTGAAACCCTTAGTGTAGGATGTCGGATGCAACCCTAAACCCACACCCTCCGCCCAACTGAAGCCACTGTGTTTGAGAATGAGGGTATACCGGTCCCCGCACAGCGAATCCTGAACTTTCACCCCCAATCGCAATGAACCTTACACCTCCAAGAGCTCTGCCCCCAAAGCCCGAAACCTCAAAGCAACACAGTGCCCTGAATGAGTAGAGTAAGGTACTGGTATAGGCAATTGACCGTTACTACACTTTAATTATGTAGGGTCCAGGAAATACTATGTACATTAAGAAAATAGTGCACCGTAGCAGAAGTACAACAGGGTTAAGGATGACCATGAGACCCAAGCACTCCCATTTCCCATTCATTCAGGAGCACATCTTACATTCTGAGAGATCCATAAAACGAATCATTCGGGATGCGGTAGGCTCCTTAATCAAGGGCGTTGTAGATGCCTGGATAATTGCCCAGTATTAGCAAGGCACCTGGGAAGAAAACCTAAGATGCGAAAGCTCCATAGAACCCTGAAAGAAGCCCTTAAAGGAGCCCTTATAGGAGGTTAGCGCGCTTTTTTTTGCCTGG